CAATGCGCGGTGACACAGCTCGCGCAGACTTTGCGCCACCTGAAGATTATATACACCAAACTTTAATTAAATCATCACTTTATAGTGAAAGAAGAGTCTGATTCAGCGCCGGCGCTTTGCATGGTTTTTAATTTCGGATGCGTACGTCCGCGCGGCGCTGCACGGCGCGCTCACGTCATGCGCATGTAAAAAAATAAAGTGCATTTGTCGCGTGTCAGTATGTATGTACTATGAAAATTTTATGTTATTATTTTTTAAAAATAATAACTAAATAAATGTAGTGTATGACATAGATAAATAAATACATGAATAAGTACACTCCCAGCTCAATAACACTGGATATCTCACTAACATAATAAAATGTTTTGAATAATCAATTTTCACGCTATTTAATAAAGAGGGTAAATAAATTCGAAAGAAAGCAAGATTTCCATGATAACAATAATATGCAAAATGCCTTCATTGTATTGTGTATTTAAAAGTTATACATATATAAACAATCAAATGTATTTATAATATCATACGCATGAAACCGCACGGGGAGTAATGTATAGTAAAGCATGAATAATACTGACGTGGTGTAGTTTAATATGATACAAGTACACAGCTTTGGCCATCGCTCCGGACGACGCCGCCTTGCGCATCGGCTGCAAACACAATAATAACCCATTTAATCCATTCAAAACGTAAAATAACATAAGATATAGCAGATAAAACATTGAGGAAATAAAAAAAACAAGACACTTTTATATATAAATAAGATAGTTTTATATAATTTTTAAGACTTAATGATGTTTTTAAAACGCATGTGTAACGACCAGTGATAGCTAATAATAAGTCCTAACGAAATATAGTATACAAATGTTATTACGCAAAAAAACTGTAGAAATACAAAATATTAAAGAGAACAATTACAACAAAATAACTTATTTAGTATATTAATATTTATGTTATTGGAAATGCACAAAAAACTAAGAATAGTGAACTATTCGTAGAAAATCTATACAAATCGAAAGTTTAGGAAATGTATAAATTTCCTAGGAAATGTATGTTATTCCATTATAGTATTAGAAATGTATGAAACAAACTTTTTTTTGTGAATTGATTTGTGTTTATTTTAATAGCATATGTATGTTTTACATTGAAATTTCTTTAAAAATGTATACCTGTATACTAATAAAGTGTTCCTCCAGCAGCTTGTATGTGAGCTCTTTGCACTCCTTGTTGGGCAACATCGCGTGCTTCTGGATATCGTCCTCCTCTATGTATTTCTTTGTGCGAATCAATCTGTAATTAAGATACAAAATCAAGTTAAAACCATATTAAATTAATGGTAAATAAATAAATTCTTTTATTGCTACATAACTAAAAAATCTTAATTAAAACCAAAACTATTTTCTACTTTATTACATCCAATAATGTTATAAAAAGTTTCAAAATGTTTTGATTAGATGGTGTTATTTTAACTCCCTTCAAAACGGAAGAAGTCCTCAATTCCATCGATATTTTTAATGTATGTACTTTGATTTATGGGATTCATTCTTGTTTGATGTTTAATAATTAAATCCATTATTAACTTATTAAAAAGCAAACTAAAAATCTAACATTTGTGTCTTACAGTCATTTGTTATTTGTTAAAAAAAATCAATTCCACTTTTCAGTATTGCAAGATTAAAAAGTTACTGGCTAGTATTTTTCATCATTTTTACAGTAGATAAATAAAAAAATAAAGTAAAACACTATTTATTGACCAAAAAGATATAAGACCACAACTTATAAATCATATTACTGAAATAAAAATAAAGATAAAAATTCTTGGCCAAAAGGAGAAGGCTCAGCTGATGCGGCTTCCAGCTTGTCACTGAAGGCCTCAACCTCAACCTCAAGTTTTCAACCTCCCCTTAACTACTATTACATGGTTCAGTTTATGATACAGGTGCAGTCCAGATATGATATAAGCCAACATTGCACTCATGTTTGTGTGTGTGTGTAGCTGTACGTTTGTGTGTGCGATGAGGGAAAATAAATATGGCATGGCATTTTCAATCGTATTCTCTAGTTCCTAGATGCGCAGTGTACCTGAATATCCTAGCAGCGTTGGAGCCGAGGCGCTCCGTGACGCAGTGGTCGAGCGCGTCCAGCAGCAGCTGCAGCGCGGCGTGGCGGCCGCGCACCGCGTACAGCCCGCCGCCGGACTCGCCCGACCGACGCACGAACCCCGCGCCACTCTCCTCTGGAGATAACACCAGAACGGTACTGATCACCAGTCTTTGGAATCTTTGGAAGTACTTTTTATCCCTACTAATACTATGAAAAGGAAAGATTTGTATTTTTAAATGTATTGAAATAACTCAAAAACTACTGGGCCAATGACAAAAATTCTTGAACCATTAAAAAGCTACAGCTATCAGAGTAACATAGGCTATGTTTTTTAATTTAACGCACGCAGTCTCGAGCAACAGCAAGTTGTTATGTAAATCGATAATAAAATTATCACCTTTATTTCAACGGACTTACTGAGAAAAATCTTATACTTCACGTAAAGGCCGATTACAATTTGATCGACGTCGAAATTTTACAGCAATTTGGAGTTTAAAAGCCTTGTCATTTAAGATGTTGTTAACGTTGAAATAACTTTAACCGGTCGTTATTCTTTTGATTTAATATGTGTAATTATTTTAAAAAACCATAAGATTAAATAGCGTTTTATTTTCCTGTGACTAACATCCATACAAATTTTCACATTAATAAATTAGTGTGATGAAGTGTGATCCATTTTGGAAATCAATGTTACTATCTTACTAATATTATAAATGC